GAATTATTATGCAACATTAATTTTATAGGTACTTGGTTTAAATATGTGACTAATGGCATTTAGTAAAGAAGCGGCCTCATTGGGTCGCTGAGTCAGCGAAGTTACTAAATAGAGAAGCGGACTAAATTTGAACCAAAGTTCAGCTGAGCATTTTCTAAAGTTGTATGACGACGAGTTGAGTCTGTCAAAAACTTTCTCATGTCCAGTTTTGGACACTGTGGACTGTTGATGATGATGGTTTGGATGATATTGACACCTACGAGGCGCTAACTGGCCGAGTACCCTACAATTTGCGCGACGTGCGGGGTTTGTGCGTAGACGCTGCCGGCATATGTCTTTAAGGCGCTGATTTGCTTTAATTTAAGGTGGATTTTATTCTTTCGGTATTGTTCTGGGTGTGAATTATTATGCAACATTAATTTTATTTTATACTTGGTTTAAATATGTAAAAAAGAATATGGCATTTAGCAGAGAAGCGGCCTCTTTGGGTCGCTGAATCAGCGGAGTTAGTTAGTACTTAGCTATAGTACTTAGTATAGAAAGGGGACTAAATTTGACCCAACCTCAGCGGAGAAATTTCTAGTTATATGAATATGACGACGACTTGTGGTTATCAGTGGACAATGTGGCTGTTGTTGATGATGGTTTGGATAAAATGACACCTACGAGGCGCTAACTGGCCCAGTACCCTACAATTTGCGCGACGTGCGAGGTTCGTGCGTAGACGCTGCCGGCATATGTCTGTAAGGCGCTGATTTGCTTTAATTTAAGGCGGACTTCAGTATTGTTCTGGATGTGAATTATTATGCAACATTAATTTTATACTTGGTTTAAATATGTAATTGATGGCATTTAGTAGAGATGCTTCTTTGGGTCGCTGAGTCAGCGGAGTTAGTTGGTACCTACATTTAGTAGAGAAGGAGACTAAATTTGACCCAACCTCAGCTGAGAAATGTCTGGTTATATGAATATGACGACGACTTGTGGCTATCAGTGGACAATGTGGCTGTTGTTGATGATGGTTTGGATGATGACACCTACGAGGCGCTAACTGGCCGAGTACCCTACAATTTGCGCGACGTGCGGGGTTTGTGCGTAGACGCTGCCGGCATATGTCTTTAAGGCGCTGATTTGCTTTAATTTAAGGCGGATTTCAGTATTGTTCTGGGTGTGAATTATTATGCAACATTAATTTTATTTTACACTTGGTTTAAATAAGTAAAAAAATTATGGCATTTAGTAGAGAAGCGGCCTCTTTGGGTCGCTGAGCCAGCAGAGTTAGTTAGTACTTAGTAGAGAAGGAGACTAAATTTGACCCAACCTCAGCTGAGAAATTTCTGGTTATATGAATATGACGACGACTTGTGGCTATCAGTGGACAATGTGACTGTTGTTGATGATGGTTTGGATAAAATGTCACCTACGAGGCGCTAACTGGCCGAGTACCCTACAATTTGCGCGACGTGCGGGGTTTCTGCGTAGACGCTGCCGGCATATGTCTTTAAGGCGCTGATTTGCTTTAATTTAAGGAGGATTTCAGTATTGTTCTGGGTGTGAATTATTATGCATCATTAATTTTATTCTTCATTTGAATTAAGAATGTGATGGTATTCCACAACCTGCGAGACGTTGGTCCAGTCATCAAAGTTCAGCTGCGTAATTTTTAAATTGTGAACACGTGTTCATGGTATTGCGCCTATTTATACCCACCTATGGATTTCGTAAACTGACCAAGGAATAAATCGTGAAGTCTCTTCTCTCTTGGTCACTGAGTCTTCTAACGACCATCGTTTAATGTTTTCAATAGTTCATATGGCACATATAAGCTAGAAAGAAAATAGCTGAGAATTGATAATGATGAGGAAAAATGTGACATTATGATTGACATCGATTTTTTTTACTGAATTTTCCATGGGCTGATATAGAGTCAGACAAAAAACAAATTTCAAATATTATAAATTATAACATTATTAATGACGAAAAATCTAAGTCAGGTAGTTTTTATAAATCCTTAACCAAAATAAAGTGGCAACTGCTGTGGGAGTTCAAAAAGATACTTCAGCGATAAGCTTCGTTCGGTAGGATCCACCTGGTAGTGCGCGCTGCTGTACGCCACCGTGTGTAATACGCTCCTGCTGCGCCTGCGCATATAGGTATGGGTTGCCAGATGCGTACTAAATGAATTAAATGTTTTCTTATTAATTTTATGAGTAGAGTCGTTCTGTTTGACTTGGTGTTATTTTATGATAACCTACCAGTACCAGTAAGTAGGGCGCATATCATCGGGGCTCCGGTTCCAGAAGTAAGAGCACATTTACGATTTTCATCGCTCAAACTAACTTTCTTCTGGACTAGTGTTCTTCATTCCAGCCATACTTCGAAACAGCGTTCTTTAGTTTAGCGACCGTTTAGACCTTGGTTCTTCGTTAATACATCTTTCAAGGGTCAGTTTCGCACTCGATGTTCATGGAGGCACTGGTTTTTAATCAGTCTGGCAACACTGTCCAGACCGGACGCCCACTGCACATCCTCAACGAAACAATAGCCACGAACAAAAGGAAATAGCCCCCCGATACGAGAATCAGCCGCGCAATCTGTGCGCGCGTAATCTTACAAATATTTATTATATGTCAAAACAATATGCCGAAATGGACCAGTTATTGGTGTTTTTACAAATGCGCCGGGTTTGCTTGCAGGCCTCGTTAGCGTGACGTATGGAGCATTGTGAGCCACAATGGTAGGCGGATACGGCCCCCGGCGTATGTGTCTACTGCGCGGGAAAATGTACCAGTTGTTCCATATTTAAATCTGTGACGTTTGAGAGCTGACCCTCGAAATAAGAAGAGAATCGACTTTTTTACAAAAGTGGTCCTGAGAAAACTCTAGCAAAATTCTGTAAAGTGCGCTTCATTAAAATACTTCCTCTGGCGTCATGTAGGTAGCATTGGAAGATCGCCGTAAACAGCTTTCCAATGCTACCAACATGACGCCAGAGGAACTATTTGATGAAACGCACGGCACTATATAGAAAAATAACAAAAACAAAACCAATCTACTTACTTTAACCAAATAAAAATGTCCTGCAACAATGTTGTCGGTGAAATAAGCAGTAAGTTTGTGACATAAGCACTTGCAAACGACTTGCAAATACACGGAATAAGTAAAACATTGTCGTAAAAACCGAATCGAAAAGTTATAAACGGAATATTTTCAAGATGGTACGCGCGAATCGACAATCCCATTTTACTGCGAACACAGTGCATCGACTCGTTTTCATTTGCAATTAACCGCTTGATAAAGAAATAATCGTAATTTAAAAACATCGGAAAGTACCGTTCTTTTCAAAATTCGAATATCGAAGAGGCGCGTGGCGGTCGCGAGCGCAGATCAGGCTCCTGGTTTACGAGAAAATAATACTTATTCTTTAATTATAATGGAGCGTCGTCGGGTAAAAAGGCGACGCACGCGACATCTGTATTAAAATTGGAATAACCGTTGCACCTGCGCGTGGGCAAGTTTGCGCACAGGCACGTACCTACTTGAAATGAAAACGGAAGTTTTGGGTGGGCTTGCCTGAAATTGGTCCTACTTTTTTATTGTTTGGAGGCTCAATGCCAACTTCTGCTGTAACACTTTCTTACAGATTTCCCAAAGATTGAACGTGTCTCTACGGACAAAGAAAAGAATAAATTGTGTGGGCCTCCGCACAAAAAGGGTCCAGTTGTGGGGTATTGAGTTAAGATTAGTTTCGGAATCTACTAGAATCCATCGTACTGACTATAAAAACGAATGAATTCACTAAAACTTATATTTTTACAGACCTCCAAATTAGTAACTCCAAAATATCCTACTTCATAAAATTGACCATGGTCACAAGTCAAGGAACACAAATTTCGAAAATGCATTTTCGAAATTTCGTATAGTCCCTCCATTGTGATGATGACTACCAAATACAATAATTTTTCTAGCACTTTTTTGTAATGGACATCCAAAAATACCAATGTCACAAAAATGCAATTATCTATGAAACTAAATGCCGAAACATCTGATTACGTGCCTGCCTGGTCCAAAGGGCGGTCGATCTCTGGTATCCGCCAAATGTATCTAATTAAGCAATAATTATCTCGTACATACTGAGTCGAGGATTCTTTAAATGCATCATCACTTTCTAAAAAGTAAAGTCTGTTTAGGACCAAAAGGAGATATAAATTACCGATATAAATATGTTTTATTATCACCTTTATTTATCAATATTAGAAACAGGAATAGCATCTCTCCGAATACTGATAGACTGATAGGATGCATCAGACCATGAAACTGAACAACTTCCCATAAGAGGTAAAATAAAAGTAAGCTCAAAATGTGTCGTAATTTTGTAGGGAGGTCTTTTTTGTTTGTTTTTCGTTTCCTGTTAGGTTCAAAGGGAAAAAGTTGTTCAGTTTTCATGATCTGCGTGCAACCTTTGAGACATGAGTATTCGGAGACCTGCAACGTCCCTTATACCCTGTATGGCTTGCTTATGTATTGCTGCTTTTAGTACCTATAACCATAACAGCCACAACACTCCACTGCTGGACATGGGCCTCCTCCTATCGGAGGGTATTGCCATACTCACCACGCTTGGCAGGCGGATTGGCGAGCGCAGTGCAAGATGTTACTTTTACTACCCCTCATGAAAAGCAGGCACATAGGTACTGCAAATGCGAGTACAATGCCCACTTTAGTTAGACACCATTTACTGCGTATTACGCTAGCTCGGATAACCGTTTCATGCCGTTTTTGCAAAACTCTATTATACTAAGTTTTATTGGAAAACGTCTTGAATTCATTTAAAGTCACATTTCACCAATGCGCATATAGTCACAGAAATTCAAAATGTTTTAAAATGTAATCATGTAAATTTAGCGACTGAACTTTTTGAATGACGGTCCAGGACTCGATTTACCTACATGAAATATTTTTATGAAAAATCGTGAAAATAAGAAATAGATAAAATGACATGCATCGACCGGGGATCGAACCCGGGCCGCATGGGTAAACGCCCCACCGCTCTGCCACTGAGCTATCGATGTGCATCGATAGCTCTTGAGATACTTGTGAGAATAATATAGCACTGTGAGTGCATTACAATCCCAATAGATGAAAAATCGTATGTTTTACAAAGCTCAAAGCGTCAAATAAATGTGATGTGAATTATAATATAAGTAAGATATTTGACTGAAGCTTTTCATTCACAGAATTTTCTTTTCGCAGAGCTAAGGATTAGAGCCTACAGTAAGTAAGTTTTCATAAGAACCTGGTACATAGTATAGGGTACATAAATCTGCTTTGTTTCCCTGTGAATTTCACAAAGCTACCTGTGAACCGTCACAAAGCAACCTGTGGCATCGCGATAAATAATCAGAGGTATGTAGGTACTGGTCATTTTAATCGCCTCAAGGTCCATTCTAGTTACCGTCACTTTGTATAAATTATATAAAAATAAGTCGGTACGACAGGGATAGATAGATGTCCATGATGATAGGTTAGAAAGTGATGGTAGGAGTGGCAGGGCAGGTGTCAGCGCACATCTGTCGGTCGCTGCGGCACGTGGCCGCTACCCTCCGAACCGCGGACGGGAAAAAGTGGAGAAACCTCCAGATAATCCTGTAATTAATTTTGACTGTCTTTATTTGGGGCGGTGGTCTTGATTTTGCGGTTAGAAAAAGTGTATTTGCTAAACTCTTGGGGGTAGGAACTCACATGCGTTGAACTTCGGTACCCATAGTTGATTTATCACAATTTTCTTTGATGTCATATTCCAATAATATTTCATTGTATGACAAAACTTTAGGCACGTTACAATCAACAATGAAAGAGAGAAAAATTTTCATACAAAGGACATCAACGAGATACATTTGATGTCATATTTATACACTTGTATTTTTCAGCAATATTTTCCGCAAGTATTATGTAACATGATGTTTCTTCAGACGTGGCTCTGTATAAAAGTCACAGAAATACCAACTTAGAAATTACTTAATAAGCTGAAAAAAAGGGTTGAACCGGCAGTTTGTTCTTAAATTCGCATTGTGGCAATTCTACAATCAGTTTTCTTTGTATCATAGCATAGTGTACCAAAACGCTTTCAACACAAACTTGACGCGATTTGCTCTAGCTCGTTTAAAGATTTTGTACTTAAATATATTTTTTGCGAAGTGCTAATTTGTTTCTCACTTTGATAAAAGGATACAATGGCAGTCATTTGTTGCATTAACAAGCTGGGAAATATATGAACACTTGTCGGCAAAACCCAAAGATATTCGTGAAATGAAGTAATTTTATCACCAGCGGCATTCAGTACCAGCAAACGCCACTAAACACCTTGCCCATGACGGAACGACGCCATGAATACCATGAATGAATCATGTAAACAAGTATCCCGAAATTGCACGGTTCGGTGTAAGCACCGTGAAACCTTTAAGTGTAATAACAGACATTTGTCTCCAACGTGATCCCGAATTACGACTTGCCGAACAGCTGCCCGTCACACCGAAGCGTATCGAGGTTATCGGAATCTTAAGTTCCGTTTGGCAATTAGGAATGAACGGGTCGAAACTTATCCGAGGAAAGTGCAGTCGCGATTTGGAATATTTTCCTAAAAAAATTTCATATGTCTTACAAATTGAAAATACGACTAAAATATACTTAGGTACACGCAAAAGTTTATTACAACCTGCAATTCTTACTTGATTGATAACTAAACAATATAAGCATATTAGCACACAAAAAACACGAACGTCTGTTTTGAAAACTACCTAATTGTGCCGAAAGTCAGGAATCGAAATTCTGTCAAGTAACTAGATCTGACAACAATCACTTGCAAGATTTCTGTGAATGAATTAGAATTTTAGTACCTACAGCTAAATACTCTTATGAACTACCTCATCAGCCATGGCACATTTTTTAATAAGTTGGTATCACTTTAATAGGTTAGTGTTTTTGCTACTAACAAACTTACCTCTCTGCTTATCTGCATCAGTGTAACTGGCGGTCTGCCTAACTGTATTTAATCGAATCAAAAAATTGACAATCATTAAACAATATTGTGGTCACTTTTTCCTTTAATTGGCGATTTTATCTGTCCTGCGGCTAACACAATGCACCTGCGACTCTGCCTGCGACACGACTTTAAATACTACTTTCTAAAATGGGCGAGTCTCTTCCCAACCCGATTTCTACGTAAATATGTAAGTTATATAAGAACAACCATGAATTACCCCGCAAGGTATAAAGGTGTAAAGTATGTAGTCGGGGTCAAAAGAGCATACCTAGGAGCGCCTCAAATGGTTCAAAATATCTCTGAAACTACTTATATTACTTTTGTGAATTATTTTTTTGGTTGTGAATATACTTAGTTTAACTAGCTGCATAGAAAACAAAAGAAATAATTTACAAAAGTAATGTAGTTTTAGAGATATTTTGAATCATTTAAGGCGGTGCTAGGTATGCTCTTTAGACCCCAACTGTACACCTATGTATGTATGTATCATGAATTACAAATTTAATGTACCTTAAATACTCAACCTAATAGGTAATTTTGTATCTTTAGGTGCTAAGGTATTTTAGTGATGTAAATTTCTACTTTCTACCTGCAAACTTTAAATTTCCAATTTGGTAAATCATATCTTATCTTACCAAGCCTGAACAAAGGTCTCTCTCTTCTCATTTGATAAATATCACATGAAAAAGATTTTCCAACCTAGTCGTCAATTTTGACCATTATGCCAAATATAACGACAAATTAGGGAGACCGCTCGGTGGCTCATACATAACACTGTGTTTAATTTACTCGCCGAATAAAAACTGTGAATGAATAAATATGATAACTAAGTTCAAAAGAACAATTTTAAAATCTGTAATCAGAATTTCTACATATACGCACGAGTTCATTCCAAATTAGGTATCTAGTATCATATACACCGCAAATTACAATAGGTTGCAGTGTAGGTATAATGACAATGTAAGTAATTGACTATTAAAAGCATTGCTAAAATGCAATTTAAATGCAAGCAATATGCTGTGGAGCATAAATATCGCACTCAACAGCAAAGGCTATGAAAAATTCATGAAATTTATTGAAAGTAAGGGAACGCCGCGGGACTTTAGTACTTACATTACGAATAGAATGTTTAATTATCTTCCCACTGAGGACTTGTTTCCAAAATAGGCAAGATATTTTGTCATCGTTAATTTATTTGAGGATAGGTACAGTCGGTCTAGTGGTAGCGGCTAAGAATTCTGCCACCCCTTGTAGAGTTTTTGACCATAGCTACAACATCTGCCAACTATGGTCAACCGTATGGTGGCGGTAATACCACCTACGATAGCATTCCCAAAGAGGGTTGACGTCAGGCAGGCGGCCGGTCGTAAAATTAAGCCAAATCCTTTTGCAACATGATTTTGTGTTCAAACAAAACGTGTTGCGCCGACCCCAAGTAATTGGGATAAGGGCAGGAAGATGATGAGGTACAGTCGGTCTAGCACACACGTTACACAACCATGTCAGAAGTCTGCTACTTCTTATTAGTACCTAAGTGGTTGTAAAACTCTGACACCAGGGTTCATCGACTCGTTTTACGAGTCGGTGTCCCGAAGAGAGAGAGAGAGCGCACTCATGACAAATACAATTTTTATGGTTTTCATTTTTTGTGATCGTTATTAGCGACAAACCGGACGAAATTATGTTAAACGATTCAATAGACTATTACGTTCTATAGAAAGACCTTAATAGAAACATACGTAATATTTTCTGTTAATAACTATTAGGTATTGTTATTATGTTCTTTGTTTTTGGTCTTGTAATTATTGTTATGGTTAATGTGAGCAATGCAGTGTTTTTATCTGTCTGTTTGTCTGTCTATTGAAACACGTGCAGGTCAGTAAAAACGCAATTTACCGACAGTCCGACAAGTTTTGATTGTTCATGAACTTCGTACACCGACCGACTGTACTAAACTTGTTAGCTTATTTGCACTTGTCTACGAATACCTTGGAAAAGTACCTAAGTAAAGCTGAATTAGGAATAAGTATTAGCACTTTGTGCATGTCAACCATGGCAGAGTCCTGCTACTTGCAGTAGGCGGTTGAAAAACTCTGACACCAGGGTTCATCGGGTCGTTGAACGATTCGGTGTCCCACACAAAAAGAGAGAGAAGAGAGACTTTGTGCAAGGGAAAAGATAAGATAAGGTACCAGTTAATACAAATCTTTGTGAATGTAGAGTTATTAATGTTATTAAGAAAAATCACATTCGCAACTAAATAAATTCAAAGTTGGTACCTATTCATTTAGCTTTCAAGTTCCTAACAATCACTTATTCAAATTGCGGTTTGTGTAAATTTTATCCCTTATTAGTAATTTTTTGAGATTAGAAGACTACAGACGATTGCAACAGGCTATAGTAGGCGAATGCGCCTGAGCTTACTTTGCGAGCAAACTGTCTCGTTGCTCGCTGCAGTTATATTGCTCTTTGATTCCCCGCAGGCGTTACGTTGCCAACCTACCACGCTTGCTTCTTCTTCTCCTTCGAGCGGTACACCAATTCGCCCAACGACCCGATGAACCCTGGTGTCAAAGTTTTTCAACCGCCTACTGCAAATAGCAAACCTCTGACCGGCCTACTTGCTGGCTTACCCACTTACTTTTTGTTTTTGGTCGCAAAAGGCCATTCATGTAGGTTTAAAGTGCTGATAAATGTTATACTTATTTCGTTCTTCGCCGTTTATTGGATGTCTCGGTATCTATCTAGGTATGGTAAATACATAAATAACATAATAATTTAAGCTGATAAGTTCCTACCGTACGAACCAATATAGATACTTTTAGCCTTTTAGTATATAATTACAAATATCCATCTAAACCATACCTTAAAACCAGTTCTTCTGTTTCTTAGATATCTACAGCTTTACCAAAATTGCCCTAAGTAGGTTGGGTTACCTAACTAAATACAGTAGGTACTATTGTATTCTGTGGCAAAAGCAGAACGTGAAAATAAAGTAAAACCAGCTGCGTATGTCTTCGCATGGCGTTC